TATATATATATATATGTGTGTGTGTGTGTGTGTGTGTGTGTATTTGCGTTAAAAAATTGATTTATAATTATTATTTTACGTTTATATAATTAAATATTTTAGTTCATTTTAAAGAAGAAATTAAATTTCTTCGTTAAATTTCCTTTCTGTTTTATCTTCTTAAAAAAATATATATATACCAAATGACTCGAAAAACTATAACGACAATACTATTTTATAAAAAACTTTTATTTTTTCTTAAATTATGAATTTTTTTCTAATATAATTATATATCACTTAATCACATATAAAATTCAAACATATTTTATAATATATTATATAATAGTCTTCTTTATATAAATTTCCGAATATTGTTGCTAGTTTGTGTCCTAAAAAAATAATTAGTCAATTATTGAGACTTTACAATAAAATAATAACAATAAGTTTTTCGTGAAATTCCAACAAGAAATTTAGAGCTTTTGCGTCTAAAAGTTGTAGTCTGTGATCGCTTTGACGTTTCAAATCGATACGATGTGATATAGCCGATGACGAGCGAGTTTCGTGCACGAAAAAACGGCTGAGAACCGCTGTGGTCTCTCGATGCACCTGGAGGCAGGCAACTTCCCAGACGTCGACGCGCGACGCTGTCCGAAAGCGACTGCACAGGCGAAGTTATGACGGCAAATTACCGCGAACTCGGACGCGATGAAATACATGGTCAACGCATAGTGCCGCGAGACTTTGTGTAGCGCCATGAAATATCTGGGACAAGATATTCAGATAGCTTTAAACTCAGAAAACACTCTCAAACTATTCCGAAAGTGAATATTCCAAACTTTGGCTTTGCATGCAAAAATTCCTAAAAGAAGAGTTAGCACATAGTTGAAGAGCCCACGCAAAATCTCCCCGTATATACTTTAATAAGAGAACGTGACGAACGTCACCGCGATCTCCCAAATTTTTTTCCGCGGTGAAGAATTAACTTTTCTTCGACATCTCCTCGCTGAGATTTCAGTCACAGACGCTTAAGATTCTCACCGTGCCGCCGCACTTCCGTTGGCCGGATGCTCGAAACTTCAACATCTCGAGGAGACTTTCTCGCTCGGTACCGCCGCAGTTGACAGAACGCTACCGCGGAACGTGAAAGCACCGGTGAAAAAGGTCTGTTTCAGCCCTTTGTCGGCCGAAAGAACTTTTATCGTCGCAGCGACCGTCGAACGTTGTACGTCTTCCTGGCGTGTCGCCCGGAACGATATATAAGGCGGAAAACTACCGCAT